TGGGACTAGAACGGGTCACCCAGCGCTGGGGCTGGGACTAGAACGGGTCACCCAGCGATGGGTCTGGGACTAGAACGGGTCACCCAGCGATGGGGCTGGGGCTAGAACGGGTCACCCAGGAATGGGACTAGAATGGGTCACCCAGCGATGGGTCTGGGACTAGAACGGGTCACCCAGCGATGGGGCTGGGGCTAGAACGGGTCACCCAGCGATGGGGCTAGAATAGGTCACCCAGCACTGGGGCTGGAGCTAGAACTGGTCATCCAGCGATGGGGCTGGGGCTAGAACTCAAGAATCCCGTGGTCTAACCACACTTCCCTTCCAAAACGTTCAAAATCTCCCCTGCCACTCACTAATTCTTGCTTTGGCACCTGCTGAGCACACTGGCTGGGCAGTCTGTGTGGGCACCACTACAAGTAAGGTGGTGGGGGAGCAATAACTCACTCTCTGCTTCTATCAGCTGATCGTTAGTTTGCTTTGGGTGTCATAAGCTCCTGTGTGGTTTCAAATCAGCCAGCTGTTGATGTTCCCCTCCCTGGTGGGGATGTGGACTTGTGCTGCAAGGGGGCAAAGGTCACTTCAGGGTAAAGCGTCATCAAGGAATGACTCCTCTCTGGTTAAAATTGGGTGCATAGGAAGCAGGCACTAGGACCTTCAGAGCACTGCCTCTGCAGCCCAGACCAGAAGAGAAATCAGGAAATAAAGTTGAGGCGAGTTTCTCGGAGTGGCTCTTTCGGTGAATGCTGTTGCGCGGGAGGTAAAGCTCCGCTCCGCCATTTGAACTGGGAATTTATTCTCCAGGAATCTTGGGACTCAAGTCTGGGCTTGGCTGCGAGCAAACCTGCAACAACTTGGACGCCAAGGGCTTTGCATGGGTGCTGCAGGGAGGTAAGTACAAAGGTCTGGCTGATGCAATAGCTGTGGCTGGGTAATGTGTTTCCCTTCTCCCCTCCAGGAGGACAGACATGAAGACAAGAGTACATGTAACGTTCCAGGTGCTGCACGCAGTGGGATAAATAGCAAAGTACCAGTGTGGCTGGGTAGGTGTAAGTGAGGGTGGGGCGTGTGTCAAAGGCATGTGTGCAACACAGCCAGTTCCTGCAACCTGTCAACCCAGGTGCCAGCTCTTCTGCTGCGCTGCATGTGACTCTGGGTTCCTTGAGCTCTGCAGAAGGGCTGCTCTTTGCACTGATGCTTAGGGCAGTACAAACCAGCCTGACTTTTCTGTATGCGGGGCAATTTCCCAATGCACTTGTGACAGTGGGAAGGGAGGGTGGGATCGTGAGGCTTGGCCCAAGAAGTGAAACCTAGAGTATGTTTCGATATCTCATGGAGCATGCCAGAGACTCTCAATTCCACAGGCTACGGCAATCAAAACCGGTTAAAATGGGATGGAACAGCTATGGGGCGGGTGAAGGATTTCCCCATTACCCCTAGGTCAGACTGGGCGTGACTGCAGGTTGTGAGGAGCATCTGAAGAGGGTTATAATCTGGATGGTTCTCCTTCAAATATTTGTCCATGCGGATTCTACTTTTGGGATGCATGAGTCCCAGCTGAACAAGACATCTCAAAGAACCACACTTACTGTCAGGCCTTTCCCACTGCTCGGGAATGGCAGGGGAACAAAATGACCAATTTGAACCCTCCCAATAAGCTGGGCGCTGACTTCTGTGAATGAGCTTGATTTGCATTTGCATCATCAAAACTGCCACCGTTTCTCTCAGCCTAGCAGTGGCTGCATCGACCCCGGCTCACAAGATGCATTGGCTGGGTTGGGTGGGGAAACTTGCCCTCCAATTTGTTCTTCGGTACTTTAGATTCCCAGCGCTGATCAGCAGCCAACTTTCTCCAGCATGGTCCTCACTTGCAAACGTGTGCTCCACACGGAGCTCTGATATGGCAAAAACTGCTGCTGCTGGGCATCCGTAGTACCTATGTCATGGAGCCTTAGAGCAGGGAATGGAGAAGACCCGTAAGGCCAGCTACTCTACCCCGTGCCGGTGCAGGACTAAGCCCTAAGCCAGAGCTCCTCTCCTTTGCTATCTAGGAGCCAGTGCAGAGCGTCATTGTCAGCTCTCCGTGTGTAACGCTTCAGCACTTTCTAAATGCTGTAGCAAGAGCTGCTGTTCAGCTTCCCTGCCTGCTGCCTCTGGTTCGGCAGAGCAGCATTCAGCACTCGAGCTCTCCGCTTACCTCCTCCAGGAGAGCATCTGAACGGAAGAGGGGGAAGGGGGAGTGGGATCATAGCCGGGTCCCGTCAGACAGACTGTTTTGGTAGATGGGGTGAGCCTCATGGGTGGTTTGTGTGCCTCTTTCAGTAGGATTGGTTCCTGCCACGTCTTCATTCATCACTTGTGACCAGGGGTGAAAGTAACTTAAAGGACTTACCGGTACGCAGGGCAGCAGGGGTTCTGGGCAAGGTGGGGGGGCATCTCTGGGCCCCTGGAAGGGCCGGGCCCTCGAATGGAAGGGGCGGGGTCTTGGGCAGAAGGGGTGGGGCTGGGGCCAGACTCCCCCAGCCAGCCCTTCAGGGCTGCCCGGCCTGCGCCACCTGGCGCTCTGGCAGCGATTTAAAGGGCCTGGGGGAAGCTGCCCCTTTTGCCGCCCTCCCCATCAGCGACCCTGCCGGTATGGTCGGCTGTGTACTGGCGGCCACTTTCTTACTGGTACGCCGTACTGGACCGTACCGGCTTACTTTCATCTCTGCTTGTGACTGTGGTAACCGGCTCCTTTCCTTGACCCTGACTCTGGTTTGGTTTGGTCTTAGTGGGGAGGGTGAATGAAAAAAACAATTGACTTGCTCGTTCCTGAAGGCCTGTGAATATAAGAACATCAGAAGAACATAAGAACTGCCATATTGGGTCAGATCAATGGTCCATCTAGCCCAGTATCCTGTCTTCTACCAGTGGCTGGTGCCAGATGCTTCAGAGGAAATGAACAGAACAGGGTCATTAACAGGTGATCCAACTGCAGTCATCCAGTCCCAGCTTCTGGCAGTCAGAGGTTCAGGGACATGGGATTGCATCCCTGACCATCGTGGCTAATAGCCCTTGATGGACCTATCCTCCAGGAATTTATCTTTTTTGAACCCAGCTATACTTTTGACCTTCACAGCATCCTCTGACAATGAGTTCCACAGATTGACTGTGCATTGTGTGAAGTAGTACTTCCTTTTGTTTGTTTTAAACCGGCTGCCTATTAATTTAATTGGGTGACCCCTGGTTCTTGTGTTATGCAAAGGGATAAATAACACTTCCTTATTCACTTTCTCCAACCGGTCATGATTTTATAGACCTCAATCATATCACCCCTCAGTCGTCTCTTTTCCAGGATGACCAGTCCCAGTCTTATTAATCTCTTCTCATACGGAAGCTGTTCCATCCCCCCATTCATTTTTGCCCACATATCTACACCAGCAACACCATCACAGGACCTAACCAGATCAGCTACAACATCACTAGTTCATTCACCTGCGCGTCCACCAATGTTATATATGCCATCATGTGCCAGCAATGCCCCTCTGCTATGTACATTGGCCAAACTGGACAGTCACTACGTAAAAGGATAAATGGACACAAGTCAGATATCAGGAATGGCAATATACAAAAACCTGTAGGAGAACACTTCAACCTCCCTGGCCACACAATAGCAGATGTAAAGGTAGCCATCTTACAGCAAAAAAAACTTCAGGACCAGACTCCAAAGAGAAACAGCTGAGCTTCAGTTCATTTGCAAATTTGACACCATCAGATCAGGATTAAACAAAGACTGTGAATGGCTATCCAACTACAGAAGCAGTTTCTCCTCCCTTGGTGTTCACACCTCAACTGCTAGCAGAGGACCTCACCCTCCCTGATTGAACTAACCTCGTTATCTCCAGACTGATTCTTGCCTGCATATTTATACCTGCCTCTGGAAATTTCCATTACATGTGTCTGATGAAGTGGGCATTCACCCACGAAAGCTTATGCTCCAATACATCTGTTAGTCTTAAAGGTGCTACAGGACTCTCTGTTGCTTTTTACAGATCCAGACTAACATGGCTACCCCTCTGATACTTGACACTATTCATTTTTGTTGCCCTTGTCTGTACTTTTCCAATTCTAATATATCTTTTTTTGAGGTGGGGCAACCAGAACTGCACACAGTATTCAAGATGTGGATGTAACAATGGATTTATATAGAGGCATTATGTTATTTTCTGTCTTATCTATTCCTTTCCTAATGATTCCCAACACTGTTATCTTTTTGACTGCTGCTGCACATTGAGCAGATGTTTCCATGAGACCTATCTATGATGACTCCAAGATCTCTTTCTTGAGTGGTAACAGCTAATTTAGATCCCATCATGTTTTCCAATGTGTATTACTTTGCATTTATCAATACAGAATTTCATATGCCATTTTGTTGGCCATTCACCTGGTTTGGTGAGATCCCTTTGTAACTCTTTGCAGTCAGTTTTGGACTTAACTATCTTGGGTAATTTTGTATCATCTGCAGACTTTGCCCCCTCGTTGTTTACCGCTTTTTCCAGGTCATTTATTAATATGTTGAACAGCACTTGTCCCAGTACAGCTCTTTGGGGGCCCAACTATCTATCTTTATAAACCAACCTTTATTCCTAACCTTTGTTTCCAATCTTTGAACCAGTTACCAATCTGTGAGAGGACCTTCCCTCTTATCCCAATATAGCTTACTTTGCTTAAGAGCTTTTGGTGAGGGGCCTTGTCAAAGACTTTCTGAAAGTCCAAGTACATGATATTTACTGGATCACCCTTGTCCACATGTTTGTTGACCCCCTCAGAAAATTCTAATAGATTGGTGAGGCGTGATTTCCCTTTGCAAAAGCCATATTGATTCTTCCCCAACATGTTGAATTCATCTATGTGTCTGGTAATTCTGTCCTTTACTACAGTTTCACCCAATTTGCCTGGTACTGAAGTTAGGCTTGCCAGCGTGTAATTGCCAGGATTGCCTCTGGAGCCTTTTTTAAAAATTGGCGCCACATTAGCTATCCTCCAGTCATCTAGTACAGAAGCTGATTTAAGTGATAGATTGCATACCACAATTAGTAGTTCTGCAATTTCATACGTGAGTTCCTTCAGATTTCTTGGGTGATACCACCTGGGTCTGGTGACTTATTACTGTTCAATTTGTATCTACCTCAGTTCTTCCACATCCCATCTAGGATCTGAGCATGTCCTAGCACCTGGGGGAGGCCAGAGATATAGGGCCAGATCCTCAAAGGTATTTAGGCACCTAACTGCGATTGAAATAAACTGCAATTAGGTACCTAAGTGCCTGTGAGGATCTGGGCATAAGTGACATGCCCAAATCACCCAGAGTGTCTGTAGCAGAACCAGGCATTGAACTCAGATCTCCTGGGTTCCACTCTGTGCTTTAATCACACAACCATCCTTCCCTCCCAGGGAGCAGATGGCTTGGGAGCGGGGCATGCTGTGGAGAGGGAAGCCAGGCAGCATGGGGGGGAGTGACTGGGGAGCAGCCCTGAAGTGGCATATGTTACAGACTCCAACTTTCTTGTGTCCGGGGGGGTGCCCCCCCCCCGCCCCCCCCCAAGCCCCCCCCCCCCACTCTGCCCCTTCCCCCAGGGCTCCACCCTTGCCCCGCCTCTTCTCCCCCCGCTCTGCTCCCACACCTGAGGCCCAACCCTGCCTCTTCCTGCCCCCGCTCTGCCCCTCCCCTGAAGCCCCGCCCTCACTCTGCCTCTTCCCACCCCCGCTCCACCCCTCCCCCCAGGACCTCCTGCCCACCAAACAGCTGATCGGGGGTGGTTGGTGGGTGCTGAGCATCCACTAGTTTTTTTCTGTGGGTGCTTCAGCCCCGAGCACCCATGGAGTCAGCGCCTATGGCATATGTACTAAGC